TATGCCACCCATTTGGCATGTCGTCTATTCAAGTTGTGCTGCCCATTGATATACTTTAAAGCCTCGTGATCAGTAAACAAAATGAACTCCTTCTGTATTAAATAATGGCGCCAATGTTTTAGTGACTGCACAATGGCGTAGAACTCCAGATCATACGTGGAATAGTTCTTCTGGGCACCCGAAAGTTTCTCACTGAAAAATGCAACCGGACGCCCCGTCTGGCTCAGCACCCCTCCAATGCCAATGACGTACGCATCACAGTTGAACTCAAACACTTTGTCAAAATCTGGAAGTGCTAAGACTGGTGCTTGAGTCATCTTTTGTTTCACTTGCTCAAAGCTACACTCCGCTTCCTCAGTCCACTAGAATTCTCGACCCTTGAGACACTCGGTGATGGGTGCAATTAGGCTGCTGAAATTCCTAATGAATCTGCGATAGAAGGATGCTAGACCATGGAAACTACAAATGTCGTGTAGTGACCTTGGCCTAGGCCAGCTGCTAATTGCCTCAATCTTTGAGGGATCTGCATGCACTCCGTCAGTGGACACCACAAAACCAAGAAACTGCACTGAAGTAGTGAAAAAGAAGCACTTCTTCTTGTTGATGAACAAACTCTCTGTTTTTAGCACTTCAAACACAGCACGTAGGTGCTCAAAATGGGCAGCCCAAGTAGGACTGTAAATAAGGATATCGTCGAAGTAGACAACCACGAACTTCCCCATAAAAGGTCTCAAGACCTGATGCATAAAACGCATGAATGTGCTCGGTGCATTGGACAGCCCAAAAGGCATTACCAACCAATCATATAATCCCTGCTGCGTCTTAAATGCTGTTTTCCACTCGTCTCCGGGCTTGATCCGCACTTGGTGGTACCCACTCTTAAGATCGATCTTGGAAAAAATCTTAGAACCCGATAACTGATCTAGCATGTCATCAAGTCGGGGAATGGGAAATTGGTACTTCACTGTAATTCGGTTGATTGCTCGGCTATCAACACACATGCGCCAAGACCCATCCTTCTTTGGTACCAACAAGGCAGGAACTACGCATGGGCTCATACTTTCCCTGATATAGCCCCTTTCAAGTAAGTCCACAACCTGCCGCTGCAGCTCTTCTGCCTCCTTGGGGCTGAGACGGTATGCTGGTCTGTTCGGAAGGGTACAACCTGGGACGAAATCAATTTGGTGCTGGATGTCCCTCAACGTTAGTAAACCAGAAGGAAGGTCCTCCGGCATCAAGTATGAGAACTCCGCCACCAATTGTTGCACCTTGTTGCACCTCAACAGGCAAGTCACACTCTTCGTCACCAGCATTGTTAACGTAGGGCAGCAATGCATATACTACCCTTTCATGCGCAATCTCATCTAGGAATTTGGACCTAGACAACAAATTAGTGGGAATAACACTTGGAGTTGGAGGGGTTCCCTCTCGTCGTGGAGCTAACACAATTTTCTTTCCTTTCATTACAAAAGAATATGTGTTCTTCCGACCATCATGAATGACATTACGATCATACTGCCAAGGTCTCCCTAATAGAATGTGACATGCATCCATCTTCACAACATCACACCAGTGGCTATCATAATACTTATTACCAATTGAAAAGGAAATAAGGCATCTCTTATCAACAGTTACCTCAGAACCTTTATTCAGCCATGAAAACGTATAGGGCTTAGGATGATGCTCAGTTTTCAACTACAACTTCCTTACAGCTTCTTCTGAGACTATATTGTCACAACTGCCTCCGTCTATTATCATCTTGCAGACCTTACCTCCGATGGTGCAGGTTGTACTGAAGATGTTGTTCCTTAACCAATCATCCTTAGAGTCATCCTTTGGAGCTAGAAGGCTCTTACGCACAACCAGATTCTCATGTCCATCTCCGTAAAGCACATCATCTTCTGCATAGTCGTCATAGGTAGGTTCACCGTACCCCTCGGTTTCTTCAGTTTCATCTATCATGTTTTCCTCAATGAACAGGCTCTTGCCCTTCTGCATGGCCGGCTTTTTACACTCATTTTCCCTATGTCCTGGTTCACCACATCGATAGCACTTAATCGTACTACTAGAAGCTCCATGGGTCCCCTGGACTCCCTGTGTGGTCGGTCGAGGCTCTTGGGGTCGAGCCTGACGGTTGTTGGTCACCGGCTTCCGGTTCTGCTGCTTCTCCACTGCAAGGGCCCTTTTGTATGCCTCAGAAACAGTCCATAATGAATGGAGGTTGAGAACATCCTGCAACGATTGACGCAAGCCTACCATATATCGAGCCACAAGCTGCTCCTTCGATTCAGACAGATCGTTGCGGGCAATCAACTGGTAGAATTCTTCGGTGTAATCATCAACGGACCTTGTTCCCTGCCTCAACGTATGGAGTCGTTGAAATAGGGTTTGTGTGTATCCGAAGGGAAGAAAGTGTGCCCTCATCTTACCCTTCATATTCTCCCAATCATTGATCTTTGGTTTGCCCTTCTTCTCACGAGATCGCCGCATCTGTTCCCACCATGCAGAGGCTCGTCCATGGAGTTTGATAGCCACGAGCTTCACTTTGTCACGATCAGGAACGTCCTTATACTCAAAGATCCGATCCACCTCGTTCAGCCAGTCAATGAAATCATCGGCCTGCAAGGTTCCTGAAAAACTAGGGATTTCCACCTTAAACCCTAGCCCTCCGCGATAGTCATCACGGACGTGAAAATCACGACCGCGAGGTTCGCGATGATACGGGTTCTCGAAGGATGATTGGGATCCGTGATCTGACTCCTCATGATCCTCCAAATCTCGCACTGTCAGGCGCCGTGTGAGTTCCGCGATCTGCTGCCGCATAACCTCGTTATGCCGCTGTAGATCTGTTATCACCTCCATGTCGTCAAGGTGCTGCTCTCGTCGGGGGGTTCGTTACCCATAGGTTGCCCACGGCCACGACCTCGTGCACGCACCATTGATGTTGAAGGATGTTCTTCCTTTATTCGTCGAACTGGGCTCTGATACCAACTGACGCCGAATTAAATCAAGGCGTAGGGCTAGAATGAGAACAACGAAAGAAAGGGAAAGATTGAAACGCTAGGGGAAGAATTCCGCTATAGGTATAGGAAAAATTCTCAAATAATGATAGTCTGCCTGAATTATGCCCACAAGCCGGGCTATAAATAGCTGAAAAAAACAAAGGGACTAAAACCTTAAAAGATGGAAGACAAAACGGGCCTAAGAATAAAAATAAATGGGCTAACTAAAAAATAGGCCAAAGGCCCAAAGACACAAAAATTAAAAAATGAAGGCCTTAATCCTCTCCTACATCACAAAAGGAGCCAGTCGGGAACAAGGACGGTCTAAAGAGAGGGGCGGCGTGTCCTAACGCTTCAAATCGAGTAGTAAAAGCTTTCGGCGTTACTACTGCGATGAAGAGGGTCATTTCAAAAGGGATTGTCCAAAGAGGAGGAAGGAAAAGAAGGACTGGAAAACCCCCGTAACTGCGGTTGCAGAAAGTTCGAACCAAGCAAGTGAAGAAGACTTGTTTTTGGCAACCGCAAAGAGTCTAGGTAAATCGGACTGGATATTAGATTCGGGTTGTTCGTTTCACATGTGTTCAGTTAAAGAACAGTTTGATACGTATCAAACTTGCGATGGGGGTGCTGTGAAGATGGCAAATGGTGCACGGAGCAAGATTGCGAGGGTCGGAACCGTACAAGTTCGCATGTTTGATGGCGTGGTGAGAACATTAACTGGAGTGAAACATGTATCGGGTCTAAACGGAAATTTGATTTCATTGGGGGATTTAGACTCAGAAGGCTACCGAATTTTTGCTCAAGGTGGAGTGTTAAAAATTTCTAGGGGAGCAATGGTGGTAGCAAAAGGAGGTTTTGTCAAAGGGCTTGTATAAACTTGGAGGAAAAGATTTGACACGGAAGCTGTCACAAGGAAAATTACAAGTGCAATGAGCGGAGCATTTGCATGGAAGAAGCGTGTGACGGTTAAAGCTTCTCAGGTTGGTGGAGACTTTGAGAAAGAAAGAAAGAAAGAATTTGGTGGAGCTTCTCAAATATGTTGATTTTGGAGATCTTGCTTTCAGCAGATTTTGGTGGCCATTTAGCTTTTGTTGACTTTTCTTTGATTGCATTAATCATGTTTGGCTATAAAACATGAGCATTGTGCATGGGGTTTAACACACGGAAGAGAGAGGGAGAGAAAAGGTGTGAAGAGAAAGGTGCTACACAAGATATCACCAAAATTGTGTGAGTGAGTGCAGAGAGTAATTATTTGTTACTCAGAAAAATACATCCGCGTGTAGGGTGTGAAAAGTCTGTTTATAAGTGTCTGGTATTTAGCGCTTGTAAACAGGGAGAGTTTTTTGTGTATCGTTCTGAAATAATGAAAATATAATTTTTTTCTCATATTTTCTTCTTGTGTAGTGTGGTTATTTATTTTTCACGTTCTTGATATTCAAAGAGTCTTACGCGCTAAGGTAATCATAATGAAAAACAAATAATAACATAAAGGAGAATGGATTGGAGGATCTGGACCGAAATCCAAGACCCCCATAACCCCTGCGATTTCGGTCCTCGTTACCAGCCGCTGCCCTAGTGTGTTCTTTCCGCCCATTCGCTGCTGCGTTTTTTTCTTTTATACGTGCTGCGATTAAGCTTTTTCTCTCATATTAGGACTCAAAAACTGAGTCCAAATCTTCTACGCTGCTGTTTCGGCACTGTGTGGATCGAAGGAAGACTCCAGTTCTTTCCCGGACTCTTTTCTTCTCGAATTAGGGAGTTGCGTATGTGAGCCTTCTCTCGCTGGACTCGCATGATTGGGCAAGGCGCTACTGATTTCAGCGTGATGGATTCTGTAAAGTGAATGAATTATTTAAAATTTATGCAAAGATAGATTTTAATGTATTTGTTAAATATGGCAGATATATTTCTCATTCTATTTAGAATATATTGTTTCCTTATTGAAATAGACTATAACTCCTCATGTGTATGTATAAATACCCCCATGTATGATGAATAAAGCACAGAGTTCACAACACGTTATCAGCACGATAGTCTCAACCCTAATTTTTTTCTCTTTTTCTGTGCTGCTTTCTTTTTCCCGGAAACGCAGAGACTAAGGTTCTCCATCGCAGGCTCCCTCTTCTTTTAGCCAAAAAGAAACCTAATCGCCGGAAAAGGAACAGAGTAGTTCCAGAAGCCTCGCCGCCATCACCTTATCCTCTTGCCAAAACCTCCGCCGTTGAGACGGCGTAATCAAAGCTCTTTGACTGGAAAGGGAATAGAGCAGAGCTGAATTCCGGATCTTCTTCTCCAATATCCCTATCCCAAAATCCAGGTATTCCGAATCCCTAAAATTGATGTGAAGAATGACAATATATCCTGTTTGATCTAGATTATGATTTGTTTGAGATTGAAAAGTGTTATGAGTTTTTCTATACTTGACGCTTTTTAAGGGAAAGAATTTGATTTCAATCATCTTATAAATAGATTTGTAAATACATATATTAAAAAACAATTATCATTAGCAGATTTCTAAACCAAATTTACTGTAAACATGTTTTTTTTTTAAAATAAAAAAAACAAAAATGGAGGTGGGATTCGAACCCCTGATGCTGGGGCGTAATCGCTGAAATCAGACCAACGTGCCACTGGTAGATCTTGTTCATGAATTGATTGCAACTTACAGTAAAGCATGTTATGGAGAGGACCATATGTTCATTCTAGATCTGTTTTTTTTGTTTTTGTTGGGATTGGTAATTTTTTTTAGTTACATGCTGCATACAAAAAAAAGTTACAATCATGGATTATCCTATCATGAAATTGTACATAGTTATCCTTATATACCTATAAATCTTGAACTGTTGCTTTTTAAAGTTGTGATTGTACACAAACATATATTGACATATGTGCTTATGTGGAAAAAAATATACATATTTATTTTTTTTGATCACAAATGTGATAAATATTTTGTTGTTTTAAATGTTCATGACCTATAAAAGAGGATTTTCAAATGAAGTATCAAACTTTATCATGTTTTATCACATGAGGAGTTAAGTGTATATGTAAATTAAGATACCATACACACAAATGGCATTTAGATTTCTTTGGATATGCATCATTGTTAATACGATTATTATTTCTTTGAATATACATCATTGTAAATACGATCATTATTACTTTGGATATGCATCATTGTAAAATGGTAGCTTCATTCATATTTTGTGTTGAAAAAAAATGCATTCAAATATGTAATTATGGATTATCTTCGTTGATTGATGCTAAGGGAACGAAAATGTGCATTTTAATACTCTATATTTGTCAAGTTTGCACAATTCATGCTATGTGATTTCCTAGCTAATTTTTGATAAAAGCAAAATCTTGGACCATTCACTTTATAATTTTTTTTGGCACTATAGATATATTTTACAAAAGTGTTAAGTTTTGTCCTCAAAGTGAATCAAATTTGATATTTATTCTAAATGTCCATATTCTCTAAAAGAGAATAAGGAAATAGAGTTTTTTTAAATGCATTTACCACTTTCCAGAAGCAAAATGGCCTAATGATTTTTTTTAAAAAATTGTTCAATGCATTTTCTCTTTATGCAATGACATTATATTTTAATGTGCTATGCTACGTTGCAATAAAATTTATGTGACCAATATTTGTAATTGCATGTTATATGTGGTTTGAAATTACAAAATAGTATTTGAGAATCTAATTTCCTCTCAAGTGGTAGTGTAAGAAAAAAATTCATTTACTACCTATTTGGTTTTTTTTTCATTGTTAGGAAATGTTTTTTTTTTGAAAAAAAATCATGTTACATTTTCATTCCCTGAAGCGAGTGAAAAATTGATTAACATGCATGAATATAATAGGCTATCACAACTATTGTGGTTATACATATGGACACATCAAAGTCACTATTATGGTCACATAGAATTACATTTTTTTTAAATATTGACTATTTGAATCTAAATATTCATAAAGAATATTGAATTCTGAAAAGAAATTCTTAAGATGTATAATCTCCTAAATTAAATAAGAATCATCATGTTCATCAAACATAATATATGGGTATATGAGACACTACCTCAGGTCTTATAATACTCCGTATTTAATTACCACCTGAAGTGGCTATTTTTAGTAAAAAAAAATCTCATTATTAAGACACGTTTTTGATATTTCAAGACCTTAATTCTAATCTATATATGATTCCTCATCAATATTCCTGAAAAATGATGTAGTAAGTATATTATAATCAAAGGAGTGATTATACATGTTATATTTTTTAGATGTAAGAGATTCTTTTCTCTTGTGATAAAAGAAGTTAGTGTAGATATAATTTTCTTGTTATACAAAACTAACAGATAGCTCCAGAAGAGCATTGCATAGTAAGAGCTACATAATAGAAGTAATAAAAGTCTCATAAATATTGAATATTTTTTTGGAGAATAGTTATTATCCTGCATTGACGAATATTATGCTGGGTATAGACAAACTCTTATTGTTTAGGGTGTCTCTATTAATGTTTAAGATACCAGTGGAAATGAATATTACATGACACTTGGTCGAGATTTGTTTTTCACGTAAACCAGAAGTTTACTGAACTAATTTTTATTTTAAACATAACCAATTAAATTATCACAATTTAGTTTGTGATGTGAAGAAAAAATCATTAAAAACTCAAGTGAGTACTATCTGAAGGACTAGAAGTTTCTGTTATTATTAGGACCAGAAAATCCTATAGTCTTGTTCTCATTAGAAGATTATTATGAGATTATTACTAATGAAACATGAGATTCATTTCATACATATTTAGAAATTGTTCAAGTATAATTGATTGGGCCCATCAACTATTCGTGATGACAATTTAAATGTTTTATATGACGCATCATTACATTTGTCATATTTGTTGATGATTAACTCGTAACCCGAAGTTTATGAGATTTATTCATATATCATTTTATGGACACAATTTCTAGATTATGTTAAACATCATTAGTCACAAAAGAGCCTGCAGCTCTAGTTAATATGCAAAGTGCATCGAATTAGTGGCTATACTTTTGATTATGAGAACAAATCATTTTATACTAGATTTTGAATCTTCATTTATGTGGTTATTATATGGAGCGGATGCTTAATGGGCTTAATCTAAGATAAATTATCAAAATACCACAATGGTAGGTAGACACTGAGGGAAGGTTTTTGAAGAAGTTGAATGGAAGATAAATTCCATGACATATGTTAGATTATATATATTCTTCAATTAAAGAAGATGTGAACCAGAAGTTCAAGAAAGAAGATTGTACTAAGATATTGCAAATAAAGTGCTCATTATGAATTTTATGTGTCAATTGTAAACACTTTGGTTAGAAGTGCATTCTTGATATTTCTCAACCATAAAAAAAATGGTCTTATTATAAGGAACTTGTAGTTCCAACATATGAGAACCTGAAGTTCTTCTTCACATGTATTTTATATACACATGTTCATTTTTATTAATCCTTCCCTATAAATAAAATGTCAAATCTTCAAAATTTTGAGTTTCTTACACTTGATATCTCCTGAAGAGAAATAAGTTTGTCCATTCTCACAATATTTGATTGTTTGATTGTGTGCCTTATATGCCCTCTCCCCCACAATGCATTCAATATAATGTAGAAGACTGTGTATTGACATTGGCTATAACTCCTCGTCTATTATTAAATGTTTAGAGTTTTTGACAGAAGATATATTAACAGCAAAGTAAGTTGATTGTTAATTTTATGATGAAATATTCTCAGTCTTAGGGGGAGACAAGAATAATGAAAGACTGGTAATACAAGAAATTATATGAAATGCATCATTGTAAATTTTCGACTCCTGAAGTGGTCAATATAATTTTGAAGTCTGATTTGCAAAGAAGAGCAAATAAATTACTAGATGCATTCACATATATGATCAGAGTGACAAAGTTACGTATACCAGCATCTTAAGCATCGCTCGATTTAAGGTAGTCCCAGAAGTGACTATTGAACAATTTATGTGGGAGAATAATTGGTTTCAAAGATAAGAACCCACAAAAATGAAGATAGCAAAAATGCTATTAGTGAAACCACATACATGATTATGAGTGAAACCCCAGAAGAGGTAACTGTCCCAGAAGAAGACTAATACTATTCCAGAAGAAAATGAAACCCCAGAAGAGGTAAATGTCCTGGAAGAGATTAATATGATTCCAGAAGAATAAGTTTCCTAAAGAAACATCGGTACCGAATGAAAATGAGATCTCTATTAATTATGTACGAGACTCTACAATATGGAACCAAAATGAAACACGTGTTAATGATATTCTTGCATATGCTATGGCAATGGATGTAATCAATAAAAGAGATTACATGCCTAAAACTCAAAGAAGAGTACATGTAGATAGTACATAAATGATTTGCCAAATGGAAAAAGACCCTGAAGGTCGAATATATAAGTCACTCAATAAACGGAATATTTTCGGACCTGAAGTCTGAACACCCATAGACATCAAACTAATAGGTTTAAAATGGGTGTCTATAATAAACAGAAATAAAATGAATGAGATTGTGCGATATGAAGTACTACTTATAAGGCAAGGGTTTTCCCCTAATCTCAGGAGTTGATTATGAGGGAACGTATTCTCCACTAGTGGATGCAATATCCTTATAGAATTTTAATTAGCCTCGCAATCTCAAAAGGACTTCAAATAAATGATATAGATGTCGTTATAACATAATAATAAGGGATACTTGAAATCGACATCTGTGTGATAGTAATCCCCGTAGGATTCAAAATGCCAGAAGCAATAAAATTAATACATTGAGATATGTGTGAAGAGATCATGGAATGGTCTTAAGTAATCTGGTCATATGTGGTACAATTGACCCAGTGAATATCTCGAAAAAGAAAGATACAAATTTAAAATCAACGTATGTGTTGTCATTCAAGGATCGCTCTCAATATTCTTTATTATAGCAGTTTATGTCGACGTATAAATATCATTAGATCTCCTGAAGAGATAGAAAAAAAACTATTGAACTCTTGAAGAGAGAATTTGAGATGGAAGATCTTGACATGACATAAATTATACTTACGATTGTATTTTAAACATCTATATGATGGGACATTTGTCCATAAGTTAAACTACGTCCAGAAGATGTTAACATGTTGAAATATGGATAATGCTCATCTTTTAAACATACCCATGGTTGTTCATTCATATATATATATATACATAACATTCTAATTACCTCCCAGAAGAGGGCGAAGAAGTACTTGGTCCTGAAGTACCAAATTTTAAGTGTGAAATTAGACAGGTAATGTGTTCACATATGGTGATACGACATTTTCTTAGAAGTCAACTGAGCGAGCACGAACAACAACATGAAGTCAAGCCGAACTGATAGTTTTATACGACAGTGATCGAGAGCAAGCATGGTAGAGATTGATGATCAATTTCATCCAAGGAGTATGCAGTTTGAAAGAAATCAAGAAGGATGCTACAATTATATATAAAGACAACGCAACATGCATAGCTCAAATCAGAGAAGGCTACATCAAGGGACACAGAACGAAGCAAATCTCAGCAAAGTTTTTCTCAACATCTGATCTGCATAAAGAAGGATAGATCAATGTTCTTCAAGTTAAATCAAGCAAAATTTGGCGGACTTATTCACCAAATCTCTACCTAGACACAATTTTGAGCAACTCAGAAAGAAGATTGGACTTCGCAGGCTAAAAGAGATAAATTAGTTTGAGGGGGAGTATAATTTTATTTTGAGGGAAAATATTATACACGCTGTACTCTTTTTTCCTTAACTAAGTTTTGTCCCATTGGGTTTTCTTAGTAATGTTTTTAATGAGGCAGCATAATTGATCCTGCAGTATCAGTTAAAATAGGTCCTGAAGAACCTAGCCAACATTATCCAGTAGCATAATGTTGTTAGTGTATAATGCATGATGATATATCTGAGGGGGATTGTTAAATATGGCAGATATATTTCTCATTCTATTTAGAATATATTGTTTCCTTATTGAAATAGACTATAACTCCTCCTGTGTATGTATAGATACCCCCATGTATGATGAATAAAGCACAGAGTTCACAACAGTATTTTGTTAGTTGGATTTTGTAAGATTGTGATAGATTGTTTATTATCAATGGATTATTTATATATACATTTGAGTTATTTTAAAAATCTATACATTGTACTAAAATTGATTATTACTTATTATATTGACCAAAAATTCTAAAAAAAAATGTTATAAATAAAAATAAATTATTTTTAAAACATTATTATTATTATAAAGCTCAACACCAACATACAATTAACAATAATTTAAACCAAACATATTTTAAAACAACTTAATAAACCAAAATTATTCTAAACTCTCAACCAAAATAAAGTCACATAACACATTCAAAATAAAGTCACATAACTCTTTCATTCATCCTAATATATCTTCTCATTTTATCCTCTCATTTTATGGATTTGTACTTATACCCAAGGCATAAGAATTCATCAAAATCCATATTTTTTAAAATCTTTAAAAATCTATCAAATTTTCAATACCGTCATATTTAGAAAGATTTTTAAAAGTTGGAATTGAATACAATTAGATTTTAAATGACTTTTAAAATTCTGAATTGAACACCTACGAAATTTCAAAATCCAAAAAAAATCTATCAGAATCCGGATAGAATGCACCCCTAAGTGTTTGATAGCAAGTGGTGGTGTAGATTATGACTTTATCATAATTGGGGGTCATATCCTCCCATTTCGGCCCAATTCACCAGATTTTCCCTTTGTCAAATTTGACATCCTTCTCATACAATTACTATTGCCAAATATCTAGGGGTCTTGTGTCAAGGAAATCAAGGAATAAAAAATAATAAAGTAAAAAAACAGTGCCCAAAACAATATTCTCTCCGTCCGGAAATAATCTTCCCACTCTACATTTGTTTTATCCGGAAATTATCTTCCCACTCTATGTTTTTATCAACACTCTTCCAAAAATACCCTTCTTTCTTATCCTACTCAATCACCCCTACCCACGTTTGACCATTCCCTCCCCCCATCTTTTTTCTTTTCTTTCTCTCTTATTCTTTCTCTCCCTCTTCTCCCTCCCCTTCTTTTTCTTTCCCCTGGTTCTGGTTTTGTTCTTCTCCTTCTTCGTTTCTTCTACCTCTCTCTCTCTCTCTCTCTCCCTCCCCCCTTCTCCTTCGTCTTCTTCTTCTCATATTCAACCTCCTTCTATTTCTTTCGTCTTTCCTCAAATCTTGCCTTTGTCCCTCTTTTTTCTTCTTCTTCTGGTTCTTCTTTTTCTTCTTCTTCTAGATCTCTGTTAGATCTATGGGGCTAGCTGCAATTGTAGAGCAAACGGCAATGGTGGGAGCTAGATCCAATAGATATGTACTCGATCTTTTTCTTCTCGTGGGGGCGGCGGTAGACGGGGCAGAGGCGACGGTGGGTTGGGCAGAGATGGTGGTGGGCGGCGATGGGCTGGGCAGAGATGGTGGTGGGCGGCTGATGTACCCCTGGATGGCTCCACCAAAACCCAAACCTCTCCCAACATATCCAAAAGTATTTTATCTTTTGTTTTATCCAAAATAAAGTCTTCCCCATCCATTTTGAAGCCTTGGACGAAAATGAGACCAAAGAAGACAAAATAAAACCTTAGTTTCTTGTTTTTATCTTTTAAAACTTTTGTTTGTTTCTTTTAAAGTCCCTTTACCAAAATAATGTCTTTCCTATTTATTTCCTAAAACTAAGGACGAAATTCTCTACCATTTTTCTCCCCAAAATCAGGCCTAAATCATCACACAAAACAAAAGGGCAAAATCAGCAAAGAAGTCTTTGATTGAATAGTAACTTCTTGTCCTATTATTCACTTAAAGTCAAGCCATGTTGTTTTCTTTGTGTTGAACCCATATGGCCGAATTGTTCCCATCAAAACAAGCCAAATTCAATCCCCAATGCTACCTAAAACATCTTGTTGTGATT